TCTGATACCTGAAGCTAGAAGGCCAGGCTCCACAGCCTTAGGAGTGCTGTGTCTTGATTCCTGATGATTGTACATTTGCTTACCTACTCATGGTTGCAGCCAGGTTTCAAACCGGCATTTTTTCACAGAAACAAGTAAATTGCTTTACAGATCATCATGTTTTCTTGTCAGTGGTGGAGTACTTTTTTCTTCCTCAGTCAGACCAAATTTTAGTACCAGACGTATACAAGAAAATCTGCTTTTCTTGCTTTAGTGTTTTATATTAGTACTTGATTTTGTTTGATGGTGAGCTGCAGGAGTTGCAGTAATAGATCAAAGAGACCAAGTTTCAGTTATGTTTAATTGGATTTCACTGACTAAAAAGATTCCCAAGTCCAATAAAGCAGTGCTGAAAGTGCCTATACTTTTTTCCACAGATGATCTAGAGGGAAAAAAAAAAAAAAAGAGAAGCTGGTGTTCTCCTTTCAGAAATGTGAGACATGGGAGTGCCTACAAACACGACAGGAAACATTTCCTTGGATGCATTGGTCATCTCTGTAAACCACATTTTCCTACTTGTGCTGTGCAGATAGGGTAGAATTCATCCTGGTTGAGTCTGTTTTGTAAAACTGGCTCTTCTCTTATATGAGAACTTGGAAGAAGAACGAGCTTTTCAGGTCCTGTTTGTCTGGGCAGGTTGGGACCGGAAAGGTTGCACAAAGGCTGATTCAGTCCCAGCTGGTCTCAGCACGGAGCCCTTCTGCTACCGGAGCAGCTCTCTGGGCACAGGAGCATCAGTGTTACAGGTTGTTCTGTGTTATGCCCCTGTAGGAGTGGGAAGAAATGGACTTGTTCCTTTTGAGGACTACAGAGATAGCAGCAGCCATTGGCTTGCTTTTAGGAGCATCTGACAAAAAGACACCAGGAGACCAGGAGTGAAGGTGGAATGATGTACTTGTTCCTTTACTTGTTGTTGTTTACTTTCATTTCAGATTGTTGAGCTGGTTACTGTGTTACCAGGTTCATCTGCTCCTGCTCTCAGACCTAGGCTTGTGCAACCAGAGAGTATGTGGGAGTCTGCACAGGCAGGAGCTGTGCTGCAGCAGTTTGAGGTGAGGGAGTCTTGAGTGAGAGCAGCAGCTCAGTGCCAGGATTGTGCCTTATATGGCTGCTCGACGCCTGCAGTGCATCTCTTGGTATACAGCTTATGGTAAAAGCCTGCAGGTGCTGTGTTCTTCCACAGCTGTATATCAACTGCTGTTTGTTGGGCTCTGCACACTGAGCTGTGCTGAATGTGGGCCAAAAAGAAGTTGCTTGCTCGGAGTCACAGCTATTGAACAGCCAGCCCTCAGACATGCAAAATGCTGCCAGAATCCCTCCTGCGTCAGCGAATGCCTGAGGTGGCCAGTGCTAGCCAGGAGGCCTCCTCTAGTGGCTGGCTGCACGTCCCCATGCAGGTGGCCAGTCTCTTCCATTAGGGAGCAAGGAGGGCAGAGCACTCTAAATATGTGATTTCCCATGAAGATTACATGTTGCCAAGGTCAGGCTGCATCTTATATCAGGCCCCTTACATCAGGTCGCTTTGACTGAGAACATGTTCTTGTTCGCAGGGAGAAAACTTAATCTGTATCTGGACTGTGGTGTAATGCTGAGCGCCAGGCTATGAATGCTGCCAGTGTACTGTTTGTTTTAAACACCACCTATTTTTGTTTTCAGGGCTCCTTTTTTAACCTTTCCGGAAAATGCTGCTGTGGCCACCATCCACTATTCTGCTTCTCTAATGGCTCACCTACAGTGAATCACTCTCAGAGAATGGCCCTGTTTTTAATTGCTGGACACTGCTTTTCTGCAAGAAGGGATTTGTAAACTGCAAATATTTGCAGCTCTCCAAACCCACAAAAATAATGTTTGTCAGTGCTCTAGAGATCAATGTTTAAACCATACAGTCTAGTGCAATCAGAAGGATGTTTTTGTTTATTAGGAATATATTTTAAAAGTAAACAAATTAATTTATAGATAGCTATATAATTACACTCACACACACACACACACACATATATACATATATAGAGTCAATTACAGATGTAAATATGTTAGGCAACTCTGGTACAATGAAGTTATGTCTTAAAAAAATACATAATTGTATGAGGTTCTCATTGAATATTACTATAAGCAGACATTTTTATAAATAACATTTGAGGCCTCAAATAAAACTTCTTTGTTTCCTGCCTCAAGTGTCTGCCAAATTATTTTTGATTCTTGGGAGACTAGAAAAGTGGAAAGCTTTCTCCAACCCTTTGGTTATACTGCTACCAGATTGTGCAGTTGGATTTGTTGCTTCTTGGTTCTCACTCTTATCTGAGAGTGCTTCTTTCTCATCCATTCTTGAGCTCAGCCCATGCCATGAACAGCAGGTATTCGTACATTTTTGTTACTACTGTAAGTTTTGCTATAAATTGTCCCTTGAAAATGTCATTGCTGTCTTGACATCACTTTTACTGCATGGTAGAGCCCAAGCTGTTTTTGTTTTGTTTGGAGCCCCAAGGTCTTTTGATGCAGATATTGCAGTTTCTAGCCTTTTCGTGCTTGTTAAAACATAAATGTGTTATGAGACCATTTTAAGAAAAAAAAAAGAGGCTGTTGAGTGATACATCCAGAAATGAAGCCACCTAGGGATACGTAATGAGCATCAAGGCTTGTATGCTCATGGCCAGTTACTTGGACTTTGAAGTTGGGGTAACAAAGCAATGAAAGTATGCTCAAATTAGTTGTTAAATTGTTAAGCTAAAAGGAGATTAATTAAAACATCATAAAACACTGTTCTTGAAAAGGAAATGGAGAAGGCACTGGCTTCTTGTTTTTACAGCAAATATAATACAGTGAGTCTGTGATGAAGAGTTCGACCACAGTAAATTCCTGGGGGTAAACATAACAACAACAAAACAACAGAAAACAGGGATTTTCTAGTCTGCATTTTACAGTAGCTTTCAGAGGTTTATAGTCACATTAAATCAGATGCTAGCAAAAACTTGCTAATTATTATATGTGTGAACATATAGGCTTGTCTGGAAATTGTTCAAGAAAAATTGATGCTCTGTGAAATATATCATCATTGTGTCTTATTCATTTTTAATATATTTTCTTTACTTTTGAGGGAATATATTGATGCTTTAGTAAGTGCTCCTCTAAAACACTGTGATGCTCTCTAGCTGGAGGTGGGATGGGCTGCTGTAACAAGTAGGAATCATCTAAAATCAAGTTATAATCTAAAATGTTTCTTTTATATTTTACTTGCTGCTGTCTCCTGTTCTTCAGAATGAAAGAAATTTTATGCAATATCTCCACTTCTAAGTTATTGCAGGGGAGACTTAGGTAAATCTCAGTGTAGGACTTACTCTTTACTAACAGCAATTTTAAAAGTACTTTGGCCAGCATGATAAATTATGTGTCTCTGCAGAGGCACTGAGGAGTAGAGTAGAAACAAGCCACCCCAACAATTCTGACTTCATTTTCTGTTTTGTAATGTTTGTGATAGTTAATTGCAGACTGTATATAAAATAATGTATAGGATAAGAGAAATCTCCATATATCCCAAAACTAAGCTGTTGTTTCAGCTACACTGCGTAACTGTTATGCACAGTGCCAAACTGTTTTGGCTTTTTGTACCCCCAGAAGGGTGCAAAGAAACAGAAAATAGGGTGAAGACAACTGTTTCAGGCTATCTGCACATTTCTTCTAAGAGACAAAAACTTCTGCCAGAAAAAAATCAGCTGCTGGAATTATTTTAATCTCTTGTGCTGAACTTTCACACTTTATTTTGAATTTTTCACTGTTGCTGCCCTGAACATGGCATATATTTCACATTTCTTGTCCCCGTTTGCTCTCTCTGCGTGTCCAGCCTGCTTATACCTAATTCCACATTTCTCTTAGCGGCTTTCAAAGAGATGGTGAGAAATGAACTGATGCAGTCTAGAGGCAGTAAAAATATTTTTATTCACTGATTCTCATAGATCGTTCTGAGAGCTCTGGCCAATGGGTGATATGGATACACCTAGGGTTTATAGATTATTATTCCTAGCAGATTCATATTGAATATCCTTTTTAAAATAAACTCACAGCCATGCACGTATGCCTTTTAGAGTAGAACAGAGCAAGATAACCTTGCACTGAGTTTCTGCATCACCCTGCTCTTACATTTAAACTCTTTTGTTTTAATCAGTTACTTCTCACAGTCATTATGAGGATTCATTTTTTAATGGCTTTCACTAATAAGTATTATTTATGTGTGATACCCTGAGAATAAGCAATCTCATTCTTTCTGAATCTCTTTGCTTTCTTCTGGTGTTGAGTTTAGCAATTGCTAGTGACAGTCAAAGTTTATAGAACAGTTCTTGGTTTTACAGGAACAAAACGTCATGGAAACACCACCTCTCAACTCCATCCCTGGTAGCAATAGTAAATATTTGGTCAGAGTGTACTTTCCATTCGGCATCTCTGGGCTGTTTTTCTGGAAAAGTCTTGCATTTGCAATAGTGTGATCACACACTGATAAAGTGGACCTTCCCAAAGTGCTTCAGTAAGCTGTTATAGAAATAAAAATTAGAGGAAGACATGGAAAGACTTTTAATAAGATGCATGAAACCATGAGGTCTTCTTGTCTCTACATATCTTTAAGGCAGATAACAAAGTGGGGCAAGTCGTTCTTGCTTTGTCTGATTTTTTCCTCTGGATTTGTACTGAACTTCTTACGAAAGTCACAGAAGTACCACGTTCTGAATCTTACTGTTCTTTATGATTTAAAATGATTTAAAATCATTACACCTTAATCAAACCTACAGCTCTTAAGCAATTTGTTGTTCCCACATTTGCATCTGACTAGGAAAGGCACCCCAGTAGGGAACTGTGAGTTTTGCAGGTCCTCAGCTGTGAAGTATAGCACAGCAGGAACCACTGAGCTTGATTGACATTGCTCATTTGCTCTTTAACACAGCTGCCTGCCAATTCTACCAGGAAATGTTTCTGAACCATAACAGATTTAGTTGCTGTATGCCTGTGATATACTCTGGGATCTCCTCTGCTAGCTCTTGCTCCTGATTAATACAGGTATGTGCTTTGTAGCTAAAATCTGTTTGGTCCGTGACTTCAGGTTGGGAAACCTGGTGTATCTCTGAGGGGTGGCCAGGTTGTATGCTTGTCCCCTAAAAGCTGTGGATGGAGGAGAATGGGAAGGGCGAAAATAAGGCTGAAGAGCCTCAATGCCAATTCAGTGTTACACAGGGAGGCATTCTGTTGGTATTCTGTATGGCCTTCTTGCCAGGAAGCTGAAGGAAACCAAAGCGTAGCTGAGAATTGAGCTGGTTGCCTTTCATCCCAAATATAGACAAAAACTATACAGGAGCAGATACACGATGTGCTATTTTCTCAGAGGAATAGAAAAAGACTTATTCTTTTAAATCTGTGCAGAGAAACTGCATTCCAGGGAAAAAGCACTGATAATAATCCACTATAAAACCAAGATTAGAGTCCAGACAAAGAGGACTGGCTTTTGTTCTCTAAACAAGAAATTATCCTACACAACCCATTCAATAGAGCATCTGACCAGGTAATTAGAGTCCAAATTTCAACTTCCAAGGTTTTGCTGTGTATTACTCTCTCTTTGTTGTTTATTGCACAAGCTCAGGCGCTCAGTGATAAACTGTTTGCTCTGTGGCCTTGCTGTGGTACATGGAAAACTTTCCATGACTGTACTGCTAGGAACAGAAATAGCTAGGCATGTTCCAGGCGGCTTTTGGAACAACTCAGTTTGGATCCCGATGAAAAGAGGGATTGTTCAGAGGCTCATCAATATTCTGTATGACTTGTTTGTTTCTCTTTAAATCTGTTATATGGAGGAGCATGAAATGCTGGGAAGAGATTTTATTTCATATCCTTCTGGTAGCTTTTAGAGTCGTACACTGCCATGCAGTTCATGAACAAACTTTCTTTCAGGGGTAAGCCAGGGGAATGGATTTGTTTCTTTTATTATTACTTAATTCTTTTATTTCAGTTGTACTGTATTGAAGGAGAAAGCCATTATCTTTTTTTGTTTGTTTTTAAGCAGTAACATTTTGTTTTTATATTAACCCTATGTTAACATATTGGGAAATGTAGTGTTTAACAATTTTTTCCTTCTGGAGTTTTCTATATGCAAAATTCTCTTTCAGTATATACTAAGATCTGGTGCTGATAATTCAGATACAGAGAGCTGAGAGGAAAATCATTGTTATTTTTTCTGCTTCAATCTGTCTGTTGAAATCAGAACTGAATTAATTCCCCCTTTATCTGCCCAAAATTTCTTAGGTGAATTCTTGTGAGCTTCCTGACTGCTTCGTATTCCTTTTACTTCTTTGAAGGAGACCTTCAATTCCCCCATCTTCATCCTCTTTTTGTTTCCCTGGGACATAAGCCATAGGACTAAAAGAAGTGGCTAGAGCATGTGGATATAGACGTGTATCAGATTTACCTGAAACTGTAATAGGTTACTCCTTGTTCTCCAGGCACCTACAGTTGGCACTAAAAAACTGGTCTTGTAACTTTTATCTTTAAGAAATAGTGCTTTGTAGTTTATATGCCAAGAGTTAGAGTGCTCATTGCTTAACTTTTATTTCTCCTGATCGTAACAAAATTTCTCAGACAGTATTTTGCATCTTAACATTGTTTAAATAATCTTTCTGGTTAAGCTGATTAATCCTGGATGGATTTACTAATCCGGGGAGGAAAAACTGCCAAGGATACATAGCAGAGTATTTCCTAACTTCTTTTGTGTGAAGACTGTGATTATTTCTTTTCTCCTCCACAGGCATATCTTGAGTGAGCTTTGAGAAAATACTTATCTTGTAAATGAACTGTAGTCAGCTGAAGGGACTGGAGGAAACTAAACCATTCTGTGGTTGACAAAGAGACATGGGATTTTGTATGGGTATAAATCTACTGCTGGATTTGGGCTTCCACACTAGCTGGATGCTAGTTCTACTAGTAGAGTCATCATCTCTATTAGCAGTTTGAATTAATGGTTTTGTTATGGAAGAAAATATTTAGACAACTGATGCTAGACAGACTAAACTTCCTTTTCTGCTGAAGTATTTGTAGGAAGTGGTACTTCTGAAGTGGGTGCACTTTTGTTCAAGTTTATCCATCTTCTGGAAAACCTGGAGGCTTGAGGCTCTAGGTCCATCTAAACCACTTCAGCATCATTCTTCCACTACTATTCTCGTCTGTAAACTTGTAAAGATGCAAGAATGTTGAAAACCATTGGTCAAATAGGAAAAGGTTGAACATTAGATAAGGGTTCTCTTCCATGCACCTGTTTGTGTGGTCACATTTATTTGCCTTGATGATAAAATCTTTTAAACACAGTATGTATTTTAGAAGATCCTCTCCTCAGGTATTCTGGATCCTATCATCTTGAGTTCATAAATCATGCTCTGTCACAAGCAGTTACCAACAATGTCACAACTCATTCGTAGTCCATGCCTTCCTGTCATCAGCATTATAGTGTTTCTGTATTTCATGTGTTTCCATAGCTTGTAAATAACCCATGGCATGGCAGTGTGGTAAAGTAACCCTGCCTCCAGGGTAGACAATACTATACTACAGCTTTTCATACTCTTTCCATATGCAGCACCATCACAGCTGCAGTTTCCAGGAGAAATCTTATCTAGCTTAACATCAATCCTATTCTCAATGGACCACAGAAAGCAGAACCTTAAGCTAAATACACTTAGGAGGAAAAATACATCAGCACTTCAGAGCTTTTTTTGAATTGGAAACTTGGAGGTCTTGTTATGATGGATTCAAGATTTCCAGCTGTGACACTATGACCTGCTGTTTCATTTTGGTGATATCACTTCATAGGATATAAGCAACTTAAAGTTTCCCAGGACATCATAATGCTGTTTAATAAACAAATAAACTAGGTCTTACACTGCAACTCTGGACTCAGATCGGTTAAAACAGATCAGTTAAAATGCTTCTGAATGTGTATATCTCCTGGGGCGTTCAGATTCTGTGAGCCACTCAGCTTTGATATGGCAAAACATCAGGACGCTTCTAAGTTACCTTCCTCCTAATTCATGCTGGAGGACTGAAGAAGGCCCCATCTAATTGTTCAAATATAATAGTGATGTTTAAGGAAGATTTGGGGAAACTGAGGAAAGAAGTGTTAGTGGATACAAGGCCTCTGTGAGGATGAGGAGAAGCTTCACTGAACAGGCTCCAGAAGGTCCTCTGCTTTTGGTAAATAATTTCCCTACATGCAGATGCAGCAGAAAGTCCCTTCTCTGAACCATTTTGTGCCAGATGAGGAAAAATAAGTGAATTTAAGCTTACAAAATAGCTGTTTAGCTGTAGTTCTTTTGCAGAAGTATCACATGTAGTTTTGTGGAATGGAGACATTCCTCTGAAATTCAAGCTAGTTTCTCTCTGTGTTTAGTTGATGATGCCAGTGCCCTACACAGCCAGCCTCCCTTGTGAGATTCTGCAGGTGCTTTGCAGGCATGTGGAATTAATATAAACTGCCCAGGCAAAAGATGATGATAGCCAAGGTCAGTTATGTACCTGAGCATCATGCTTTCGGGACAGTATTTAAGGTGGGGACCTGGCACTGGGTTTGAACTAATGTGTTCTGTCTTCACAACTAGGAAGAGTGTGGCTGCTTATACTATTTCTTATTTAAGCAGAAAGCCCTGCAGGGTGAGAGGGGATGGGATGGAAAAAGCCAGTGGCATCAGGATGGGATGGGAAAGAATGAGCTGAAATGAGGTTTTGCTGGTTTGCTTTCTTAATAATAAGTTGCATTTCTGGAGGCTCTTGTGGGCAGTGAAAGGCAGGCATAGGAAGGAGGGGGCTGTATGGAGGTTATAACATTTTTTCCCTCTCCCCTTCCCCAAGGAGGACAGACTCAGATTTCTCACATGGTGTTTATTCTGGCTCTTTTTTTTTTTTATACTGCACTCGCTCTTGTTTAAATATGTCCTATAAAATATTTTCCTTTTTTCCTCTGCATATAATCAAAAGCAAAGAGCAGTGATTTTTGAGAATTCAGGTCAATGTGAAAGAATGTCTACCAAAAAAAAAAAAAAAAAAAAAAAAGACAATCTGAGTGAAGAAAGGAGAGTTATTTTCGTAACTTATTTCCTTTGTACAAATTGAACAAGAGAGTAGAACAACTTCAGAAGTAAGATCCTGCTACTTTCTCTAAAGAAAGGTTTTTTTTCAAGCATGTTGCATCATGAAGAAATGGATTTGCAGCATTAGAAAATCCTGAGCCATGTAATTGAGATACCTGAGAAACATCATTGTGAGTGTATTGCATAGACAGTGGAAAATCACCAGCGTATTCCTGAGCAGCCCCACACCTCCAGAAGTCCAGGGTCTGCCGCGGGGGGAGCTGGGGACTGCGAGTTAACCTTGGCTGAAATTGTAACTGGATGTTCTGGAGACTTTCTGCAACAGCAACTGATTGTATCTTGTGGATAGATAAAAGTGGATGGACAGAAACATTTCTCTTCTAGCAAAGTTTTGCCCGGAGCAGTAATTTACTGCAAATCAGGGGAGTAACTTTTTCCCCTAAAGATTAAACTGTTACAAGAAATATAGAGGTGCTTTTGTAGTAGGATAACTTTTCAGGGCTGTAACCATGGAGTAGCACACTCTGATGCTGATGCGATTAACCTTTTCACTGCTGTAGGAAAGCATGTGCGGTCTGACAACAAATTTCTTCTGAAAATATTCCCCTTTTCAGGCATTGCTACTTTGGTTGTCTGTCTCATTCGTACACTGACACCCAGCTGGATCAGGAAAATGCTTTGCATGGGGGGTTTTTAAGTTCTGCTGTGGGCACTGGAATGTTTTCGTACTTCACCTCTTTGCAGCCCACAGTGGAAAGGAGAAGAGGTACTGGAGAGGGATGACAAATAATGCTAACTTCAGTTTGGAGAGGGTGGTAAGCACCATAATGCAGGATTTACCTCAGTTTCTGGCAGCTGGGTGTTGGATTAAGACTCAAAGTATGTGGGACAGAGAATGTGATGCTCTCACACGTTTTCCTTCAGAGATTTTTCATT